CGTGAGCGAGCCCGGCGTGTACCTCGGGCCCCTGTGCGAGTGCCACGAGTGGGTGTGCGAGACCTACGACGGGAGCACCTGTGCAGGTAAGGGGGTGGCGCTGTCCCCTCGGCGGGGCCCGGCGCGCCCGCGCCTTGTGCCCCCGCGCCCGGAGAGACGGGCGGGGACCGCCCCTCCGACAGCCCGCGGGGAAGTGACTGCCGCCTGAGGAGGCCGCCTTCTGCCAGTCAGCTCTCGAACCGTCTATTATAACCCTTTCCTCCGCCCTGGGGTCCAAACTTCGGTGAAAATAATATTTGTAACATTCGCTCACTTACTTATAGATCTCACTCAGCCTCACTTTCAGTTCCTTGTTACAGACCAAATCTCCCAACTTCCTCACCAACCGAGTTATTTTGCTGGGCTCTCCTACCCCAGTCACGAATGTTCATCATAATATTTGCAGAATGTAAGCCTGTATTTTATTTTTACCAAGGAAACACGGGAATGTTATTTTCCTAAATTCCAGGGGAGCTGACTGGGTCTTTGAACTGGTATTTGCCCTCATACCGCGGGTGGCGTTCACGGACAGAAGTGCGTATCAGAAAACTGCTAACAAGGAAAATACAAGCAGGCCCATAGTTACTTGGAAGCGATGGCTTCTGTATTGTTTTAGCTACTCGAATTTTTCAGCTGCAGTGGAACTTGGTATTTGGTAAGGGTGGAGTGAAAATTAATTCATTTCCATTGCACAAAGGAGTGATTCAGGTTCTGATACTGGAAAGGGTCAAGGCTATTTTTTTTTTCTTAGAGAACATCCCTAGCTTCTACCAGGTTCACATAACCGTGTCGTTTACTTAAGGCCAAGAACCTCAATTAGGTCATTGTGACTGATACAGGCACTCTGTCCGTAAAAGGACAACACAGTGCATTCCCACCAGAGTTTGGCAAATTTGTAGGAAAAAGAAATCACAACTTATTTTACCCACAGTGTGGCTGAGAATGAGAGTCCAGCACTAATGGAGAGATCAAGAATGAGTTTATAGCAAAATGTTTTTTTTTCCTTGGCACCTGGGTCCAGAAGTGCGGTGAAGACACTTAATATGCAGACTGTTTGGTGGTTAAAAAAAAAGTCATATAAATAATCTGGAGGTGTACAGGTGCTTCTGCGTGTTTGTTTAGCTTTGAAGGCTGCGGCTCGACACTTTAGACAAATAAATGCCACAATTTATTTTAACTTCACCATTTCCACAAAGCTGCAGCATTATTAAGGGCAGCCCTTTGGAATGAAAGCTAAATATTGTCTAATATTTCATTCCAAATTCAGCCGTTACCTGACTTCTCTGGCTTTTATTGCCTCTGGCAAGACCTCTTCAATATCATGAATACTGAGCACATTTTTCAGGGCCTTTTGTATGGTTCTTTCATTGGAAAAGTAAGAAGTCAAATGTGGTCTTCAACCAGTGAGCTAGTCTGGGTTGCCATGAGATGAAACTCCCCTTTTGAAGAAGCTGATCTGTTTCCTTTCTGTGAAGCTCTGCGGCGGACATGCTCGGTGTATACGCTCTCGTTCACTCTCATGGGAAGGGATTTGTTGTCTCCTCCTGACATCTCAGTCACCGCGTTCCTTCCTCCCTGGTACAAAATGCAGATGGTTTTGCTTGCTTGTGTGAGCCTTCCTGCAGAAGGTGGAATGAAAGCCTTTATTTAAGGCTGGATGAAATAACTGTGTTCTCATCTTTCTGACTGTCGCCGGCCAGGGCCTGGTGCAGAATCTGCCCTCACCAGTGCACCGCTACATTTGCCAGGCCCGGAGGACAGCCGTACACACGGGGTACGTGGTGGTCTTGTCAGCTTGTCCTCTTGTTCTGTGCTTCAGTTGTGGCTACTCAATTCTGTTTTCAAGAAATAGTTCCTGTATTATAGCCAGTAAGATAAAAATGTAGCAGGTTGTCTTTTATGTTTTTATGTGCACCTGGGCCTTCACCTCTACAAGAAACCCCGGTAGGTGCTTTCCAGAAATAGAGTAGCTTCCAGAGACTTCCCCCATCTCCATGAAGAAAACAGAATCCTTCTCTGGCAGTGTATTGTGGAGCGGGTAAGACAGAGGACTCGGGGGGAAGTTTTCCAGGATTTGAATCCCAGCCCCACCTCTCAATGGCTGTGTGAACTTGGGCAGTTACTTAAACTTCCTGAGCCTTGATTTCTTCGTCTGTAAAATGGGAATATTACAGGATGGTAGTGAGGTTTAACGTACGTAAAAGACTCAGAAGAGTGTTTTGCACAAAGTAAGTAGTATGCAGATATGGATATAATGTACTGTTACAGAAATGCACAAAAGGTGAGTGAGGATGGGAAGATGGATGGATAGAAAGATAGAGAGATGGATGGGTACAAAGTCGGGCTTTGTATTTGTTGGGCATTGGATGCAGTGAAAGCAGTTTAGTTTTGTTAGTTTTCCAGACCTGTTATTAATCCAAAGCTCAAAAGGTTGAGCAATGATAGCTATCTTGGCCCAGCCTCGGAGCAGCTGTAGTAGATACACCATGCCCTTTTACAGTTAAGTCCACTGGCATTCTCTTACAGTGAATCATAAGAAACAGACTTATTTTAGTTGGAGCTGGTTGAGATGATGACGTTCACACTGTCACAGGTGGTCTGTTTCTCCCCGTCTCCTCTTGCTCTCAGCACGTGCATCTTCCTCCGGCTTCTGTGACATAAAGATCTGGCCCAGTGATTATTCCTGAGGGTGTGATGATCTGATGAGGAGTAAACTTATTTTGGTGAAATATTTCTTTGAGAACAGGACAATGTTCGGTTACATAAAAACAAACTTCCAGTTAGTACTTCCAGGCACCCTAGGTAACCCCCAGAATACCTGTGATTATAATTAAATAAAATATTGGCTTTTTAAAAATCTTTCTAATCACTTTTGAAATATATCCCTTAGAAGAGTTTCAGCGTTAGGAATTTGGAAGAGCTAATTGAATTCAGTTTAGCAAATTCTGTGAAGTGCTGTATATTTGCTGGACTGTTTGCTGTTGAAAATGCCATAAAAGATGAGGAATATATGACAACTTCCCTTTGAGTAGAGGGGTCAAAGAAATACCATGTACCTATAAGGCAATGCAAAATATAATTTCTACAGAGTTCTTTGAGGGTTCCATTAAGGTAGGAATTTAATATTGTGGTTAAAAGTTCTCAAGAAAAAGATATAATTTTACATAAATCTTTTTTAAGTATAAGGAGGTTTTTAATCCCAAAGGTAGACTCCTGGAATTGTGAATGAAGAAAAATTCAAGAACTGGCTTAGAGGCAGAAGAGCATGTGGATGTGTTTGGAGAACAGTGAGGGATTTTAGCTGGGTCTCAGGGCTGCGGAGAAAGTAGCAGAAGATATACTGAGAGTTACAGTTGGGCAGATGGTGGAGAGCTTTGAACCTGAATGTGAAGCTTGTGCTCAATTAAACAACATGTAGGAGCCGTGAGGCAGTTTGAATATGGGAATGATGGTTAATGCTCTGACTCATGAAAGGTAATATGGTGCTTGGAGGGGCAGGGCAGGTTGAGGTAAACCTGACAGAGAGGAACTCAGATTAGATGCTATGTTTTTAAATTGAGTTGATTTACAATGTTGTGTTAGTTTCTGGTGTACAGCATAGTGACTTAATTATCTGTCTATCTATCTATCTACCTATCTCTCCTTTTTCAGATTCTTTTCCATTAGAATTTATTACAAGATACTGAACATAGTTCCGTGTGCTGTACAGTAGGAGCTTGCTGTTTACCTAGATGTTATTTAAATTACAGTCCAAGGAGAGAGATTAAGGATGGAATTATGATGAATTTTAAAGTCAGTTGCCAGATAGACCAAGAGGGAGTAAGATGGTGTCAAGTGACCGGGTGTGTGACGGCACTGATGGAATAAAGTCAGAAGAAAGAACCAGATAACTCCTCAACAGAGAAAAGTCCCTATTAAAGAAAAAAAACACTTATTTTTGTCTGGAGTTGCTGTAAAATGAAGAATTATTGCTAGAGGAACGAGTCTGAACTTTGTGGCAGAAGCTCTGGGTTTAGATGGGAACCTTGTCTGAATTGTTAACGCGGGTTATCTTGCTTCTGTCGTTAACCCTGAGGCGGTCATTTGATTTCTCTGCAACTTAGTTTCTTTTTCTGGAACATCTTTATGGATTGCAAGAACTTTACGCCCCGCATGGTATTATTCAGAATAATGTTTAATATTTATGTATAAATATATTTACTATCTTTATGATTTGTGCATTTATACATTTATTCCGACTATAAAACGTCATTGTAAGCATTGATTTTATGTAACTAAATACTCTTGGTGTGAAGATAATTAAAATACATGGAAACATCTCTAATACAGAAATGGTAGTAATTTTTTTTCTTGCAGATATTTCTGCCTTTTATAGTGTTAAAGAAATAGTATGAGAATTGTGCATGATTATTCATGAGCACTGAACTTTCCGGCTCCTTAGAGTCTCTCCCAGGACTGTTTGACCTCCTATTTCCTCGCAGTTGCATTTTCCTTAGATGAGTAATTGTCTCCAAGCCTATTTCGTGGAATCACTCTTTGGTTTTTCCTTTCTTAGTCATTTGCCATTTTCCACCTTCTCTTCCTTCTTTCAGACCCTACCCTGTCCTGATTGCCCACTCCTTTGTCTCTGTCGGCGGGGGGGGCCCCCTTGCACTTTACCATCGTTTGTTTCTTTTCTGCATCTCCTCTGCACCCCTGCTTGGGGCACCAAGCATGGAAGAGCATCCGCTGCTCTTTAACGCCCTCCCCAGGAAACAAATGTGTCGAACAGGCCAGTTTCCGCGTTGCCTCTCTGCTTGTGTTTTCATCATGGTCTTAACAAGTCCTGAAGTTCTGGAGAGCAAGTTCAGGAGCTCCCACGGCCGGCTCCCCCACGACATGCAAACTTCTTCTTCTCTGAGTTCTGCCCTCTTAAGTTCATCCGTTTTGGATAAATGCCTTTTGTCTTACCCCTAGGGACACATAAAAATTAAAGATTTTTCACTCTCAAAGTGCCAGGCCTGCACGCCACTTGCTCTCACCTGTACGGCTCTACTGCGACGGTACC